AATTCAAATTTGACAAATTTTTTACTTTGGCAGTTTTTCAGAAACATCAAATACTGTGAGTTCTTGGGAAAATCAGAGGTGGCTGTACCACTTGCGCACTGTATACAGGGTGCGCCATAAACATGGTAACAATTTTTCGGACGTCCGAAATTTTCTTATTTGGAGGGTTTCTCCAGACCAGTACCTTCCTTTATGTTCAAGATATGCCTCAGACTACACCTCAGACTACTTTGGTGCTCTCAATCGTCAGATTTCGAAAAATGGTGGAGCCTCGCAAACATCCACCGACCGTTCCGTCTTTGCGCGCATTTGGTGAGTCCCTTTCCCGAATCGCTCCTCGTTTCAATATTCTCCCCGTTGACAGTTTCTTGAATCGCGATGCGTAGCCAGGTCGGACAAACCTCAAAACGATCGTCTTGCCTAAGATACAACCTCTTCTCCGAATAAAATTACTTGGGAAGGAGTACGCTGCAAAACTTGCCGAAATACGAGAAAAACGACTGCTGGTTTGCTTCTATGTCCTACTCCGATGACAAGAGTCTACCGCTAGTAAATACAATTGTATCCAGATAAGAATCGAAAGCCCTATAAGCTTCTCGATGAGAAGAACTTGGAGAGAAAAAACAAATGCCGTGCGCTACTTGCGCGCTGCACGCGCTTCGACAAATCTTTTCTTGACTGAAGGGTGTTCAGCGTAGAAGAAATGTTGAGACCCCAATGAATACATATATTTCAAATTTTGAGTGCTGAAGCCGCTGAGAAGAGTCAGTTCGCCTCTCATAGCCATTTTCCCTCTTTGATGATAATTTCTGCTAGAAACACTACCATCAGAGCGATATCGCAAATTTTGGTCGACAAAAGTACAAAATTGAATCCAAAACTTTTTAAGAAGGGCCCTTCTGAAAGGATGCAGCTGAGGGTCGAAGATTTTCTTAAGGGATACAATGTGAAAACTATGGCGCATCTGCTTAAGAATGGGAAAAGATAAGATTGGTGCTTATTGAATGTTGGCGACTTTATCCCAGCTTCCAATCCTCACGAATTTCTCGGACCACAAGGTGATTTGTTGCTGTATGACTCATACTAGGGAGGGAAGCCTGCGCTTCACAACGTACCGCTGTTGCTGCTCATAAGAAACCATTGAAAAAAANAAAAAAACCCAGGCTGGAGTTTCTCAAAAGCCCTGCGCGCCGTCGTCGATGAGTAGCCGAAGCATCTTTGAGCTATAGTTAGTACAGGGGACGGTTATATAAGATTACCGTGTGTTCATTTTGTGATGCATAGTAAATAACTCACTGAATTCACCGTGTATCAATATGAACTGTGGTTTTTTGTAGCCCAATTCTTTTGTTACCATATTTATGGCGCACCCTGTACATATATACGGGATGCCCCAAAATTATGGGCGAATATTCATGTATTGTATTCGAAACAGCTCAGCTGACAACACCAATGGAATTTGAACGCACTTTCGCTAAATTATGTGCAACAACAAGCGTAAATCGCATTGTAAAGTAGCCCTCATTAGTACGAAGAGAGGCCCAAAGTCTGTTCTCAAACAACCCCACACATGTTGCACGCTGATGTCCTCTTTCTTTTTGTTCCGGCCTTTCTTGAGTTTCGCTTTCTAAGACTCCACACTGCACGGAGGAGCCAAACGGCTTGGGATCTGGAGAGTAGAATGACATTCCTCCATGCTAGGGAGGTATAACAGCTCTCGTAGGCACCATTCTTGGAAGAGCTTCGATCTGTGGGCTGGAGTACCGTCTTTCTGGGAGGACCACGGACTGTTTCAGGAAGCGGAGCAGGGTACTTGCTCCAGTACATCTATCGCCATGCTCTCTGAGCACACGTCCTTGTCAATTCTAACGCCGGCGCCGACTGATCCGACGATCCTTACCGTTGGCCGTGACTCTCTCAATAAGCATCATTTTGCTGTTCTTATAACAATTTCCGTAGTAAGAGATTATACTATCGACGGTCCTAACCAAAACGCCTTTATTCGTTGGCACTGCTTTTGTCATGAAAAATTTTCTTGTCAGAAGAAACAATGAAGGTATGCGTGTTCTCGTTTACTCAATATTTTTGCCTTAGAAGCCTTTGAGCGTCTGTAATTTTCGGACATCCTATATGTACCTAACTTTTTGAATTTTAACGTATATTCTATACTGAAAATAAAAAAAGAAAGAAAGAAATATGTATACATAATATGCGTTTCATCGAGAAATTCCTGACTAACCGCTATCGCTGCATTCTTCTATTTCCTTTTTGCATTTGTAGTACTCGATCTGAAAGAAAAGCTATATAGAGATCCAATTTACCAATTATGATACTGCTGCACATAAACTGGTATAACGAAAGAATTCCAAGAGCAGAGGGCATTCATGATGAGATCTATACCATCGCGTGCATTTTCGAGTTTTTCTCAAATCCGCTTCCAAATCTATGATATGTTTTGGTAACAGAGTTGCGACTCACAGACCCACAATTCCCTAAGAATAACAAAAAATATATCAGAGTGAAGTTGTGCTGTTGAGAAGCGATCCCTTGCTCAAATTAGATTTGCTTGGTGCCAGACTTCATTTCGTTCTCGTGCCAAGTCGCACAAATTCTTTTACTCGTACGACTTGCAAAGGCGAAAGGGTCGAAACGTTGGCCCAATTAAGTTTCGAAATCTTGAAAAGGTCTCATTGCAATTGTATGCTGCCATCCATCCGTTGAGCTTGTTGTCAAGAGATTGGTAATGCACTTCAGTGATTACTACCTTTTTTAGAGCAGAGTCCCAAAACCATCACGCCATAACATTGCCATGAAGAATGCCTATCTGATGCGCGTGGCTCTGCATGAGTCATTCCTAGCGGCTCCTCATATGTATCGATTCGAACCCGATGCCTGTAACGTTTGAGCTCAATATGGAAACCTACACATGTTTCGCTTATACCCAATATCCTCTTTTAAAAAGACGGGAGACGGGAGACTTAACGCAAAGAGGACGAAAAGTTGGCCCGATGAGGTTTCAAATTTTGGATACGTTAATGCTGGCAAAATGTTGATGCAGGCCCACCGCTTGCACCTTCCCAAATTTCGACAGCAGTTATTGATTCCATTCGGAACCCACACACTCATCGACACAGTTCGTGGACTCTCCGCTAGCTATGTCCTGCTTGAGCCCTGCGTGTTTAGCTAACTTAGTGTGTTACCCCTTGTTCCACTCATTTCGCGTACGCCCACTCCCTTTACTCCCTTTACTCCAACCCCCTCCCCGCACATGGAGTTTTCACAGACCATGACCATTCCGTGCCGCCAGCTATATTCCATTCAACTTTTAATTCTCTGGGTCTCTTAACAGGAGTTATAAATTTTCCGTGAAACATTCTTGTGCACACCATCTTATGCGGTAGCTTGTAGAAGAGAATATATAGAACCTGAATATAATCGCAGCATGCGTCCTACCTAAAACAGCGGACTTTTCATAATTATTTTGGACAACTGATGGCACGTCTTATGTTGTGTATAAGAATGAACTGATATGAATTCGTATCGTAACACCTACTCTATATAAGCCTAACTCGAGTAGGGTTAGACACTTCTTCTTCATCTTCTCCTTTCTGCTCACGACTACAATAAACCGGTCGTCTTACTGAAGTGTAAGGACACAAAAACTGGCGATCAAGGAGCCGAAGAATGGATCAACCGCAGCTGAAGATCTTCAAGGAACTGCTCGAAGAACAGCGAAGGCAGCACACAGAAATGGTTCAGATGCTCTTGCATCGCGTGGAAGATGGAGCTGGTGACCGAGCCAGGACTGAAGAAGTTTCAACGCCGACATAATGGCCCCATTGAGTAACCGGATCGAAAAGTTTGTGTTCGATGCCGACTTGGAGATGGGGTTCTCCAGATGGTCCTCAAGGTGCAAGGAAGTGTTCACAGAAGTGCGCGACAACTTCCTGAAGCGGCAAGGGTGAGACTTCCTTGTGAAAAACTTGATAATGTTACTTTTGAGAAGTACCAGAGACACGTGTTACCAAGGAATGTGTCAGACATAGGCTTTCAAGAAACTGTCCACTATCTGAGCCATTTGTTCGACTTCAAATCATCCGAGTTCACAACCAAATACCAATGTTTGAAGCTTGAGAAGAGCGACAACGAAGATTACTTTGCCTATACAGGTAGAGTGAAAGAATTTTGTGAGAAAGCAAAACCTCATGACTTAGATTCGGACGGTATCAAGTTTTTACTTTAGATATTCGGTCTGAAGTCTCAGTCAGAAGCAGAAATTTGGCAACGGCTCATCGCAATACTCGACAGAGAGTATAAAGCAGGTCGGAAAATTTCTTTACATGAGTTGTACCAGGAATGCGAAAATTTTCTGAATCTCAAAAGACTGTGAGACTATCACCGGAGATGTCAAGGACGTCAATGCAACAGAGAAAGAAGATCAAAAGCTCATTGCCTGTTGGAACTGTGAAAGAAAGCACTACGCAAGAGAAGAAAGAAGTTGTGGTTCTGCAAAAAGTGCAAGACAAGTGGCCACAGAGAGAAAATCTGCGACGTTGCATATCAGAAGAAAACATCTAAGCGTAACAGGACTTCAAAAAGGTGTCATCACCCCAACGACGAAAAGAAGCATTCGAAACAAGATTCCAGTAGATATGTTCGGCGTCCAAAGATTTCAAATACGTTTGCAAATGTTAGCACTACAAGGATGTACGTCGAGGCAGTTGTGAACAAACATTCAATTGATTTCCTGCTGGATACGGGATCAGACATAACGTTACTAAATGAAGATGTCTGGAGGAAAATGGGATCCCCGAAGCTGGAAGAGACAAATATTACTAAGAAAAATGCCAGTGGTGATCGCATGAAGATCCGAGGAAAGCCAAAGTGTACAGTTGAAATGAAAGGCAGCAAAAGTGTAGGGTACGCTACGCGGCACCGTATCACTCGTTAATGGGACTCGAGTGGATATAAAGCAAAGAGGAGATGCAGCATACTTGGAAATGATGGTTGCAGAGATCGAAACAAAAAGCTCCTACGTGGAAAAAGAGCTAAAGGAAAAGCATCCTGACGTATTCAGCGAAGGTCTTGGACTCTGTACGAAAGAGAAAGCAGACCTCGTACTCCCTCCCAATATCCGCCCCGTATTCCGTTGTAGTCGTTCCGTTGCCTACGCTGCCCTGGGATCCGTTGAAAACGAACTAAACAGACTTCACGAAATGGGTATTATCACTCCGGTGAGCCACAGCGAATGGACTGCACCAATCGTATGTGTCAAGAAAGTACAGGGTGGCTGAAAAGTATAGGACGCCACATTCGTAATCGTAACTTCAAAGATAGAGGCCAGAGAGACAAATAAACTTAATGAGGAATAGAGTAGAATTACAATATCACTTAGGACAGCAGGTGTTCGAAGTTCAATCCTTTTGCTCTTACACAGGCCTACAGACTCCCGATGACTGAATTGACCATACGCCGCAGGTAGTCGACGTCGATATTGTCCCACGCCTTCTGAAGCGCCAACTTCTGAGCGTCAAATGTGCGGAAGAAGCGTCCTGCGATTTCGCTCTCCAAGTACCCCCATACAGAGAAGTCCACTGAATTGAGACCTGGCGGAGAGGAAGGTCAGATTTCTTTACTTCAGTAACCGGGAAGTGCGCGTCCTGTACGGCTTTTTTCGACTTCGAGGCATGAGGAGAGGCCCAATATTGCTGAAGGACGAATGATCGTTTACGAAAGTGTTCAGTGACCTAGGGTAGCAGAGCGTCCATTAAAACTACCTTTTGGTGGACCTCGGAGTTGATTTTCACATTTCTGTCGATGAAGACTAAAGGTGTTTTGCTTTCTGATGTCACCCCGGCCCAAACCATAACACTTTTGGAAGATAGCCTGCTGTGCAAAATACAACGTTTTGGGGACCTGGGGTCAGCTTTTGACAACAACTTTCTCTGATTTTGACGGATCGGATAGTGTTCTGCGGTGAAAATTTTCCCATCGGTCCAGATCACGTCAGAGATGCGGCGCGCACCGAGCTCTCGAAAAAGTTTTTTGCATTTTATCACTCGACTTTGCATGGGCTGCTCTGAAAGAAACTGTCCTCGACGGAGCCGATAATTGTTCAGCTTGAGGTCGCGTTTCGCAATTTTCTGAATGCTTTGACGGCTGATGTTGAGGTCAGAAGTAATCCGATTCATTTTGTCTCCATGGTTGCGGGTGATCCTCTTCCTAGTGGTGTCACGAATCCTCGGAGTGTTCACTGCTCTCGGTCGTCCCCTTTTTGGCATCGCAGAGGCTCGTCCTCGATTCCTGAGAGCAGCGGCAACATTCCGTACGGTTGATGAGGGAACACGGAGTCGTTTCGCAATGTCGCAGCTCCTGAAACCTTCTCTGAGCAGCTTCTCGATAGTGGGTCAATGCGCAAAAACTTTCGCAGCGACTGTTCGGGCGAACGGTCAATCGAATGACTTTTATGGAATCTTCTGCAGATCCCAAGCTTTCTAAAAGTCCCACAAGATTCTGAAAATACCCATGGGCAGGGTGCCAGCAAGCTCCAAACGGCGCGTCCTATATTTTTCAGCCACCCTGTATGCGCTGACTTTTCGACTGCACTTAACAAAGCTCTACGGTCCTTCGATTATCCGCTCTCCACCCCCGAAGATGTTTTGCGTCCCTGAATGGAGGAACCGTTACTTCCAAATAGACCTCTCCGATGCCTACCTCCAGATAGAGCTATCAGAAGAATCTAAGAAGAAGGCAGTGATCAATACGCACAAGAGATCATGCCGATACAATCGTCTGCCGTTTGGGATCAAGACAGCACCTGGAATTTTCCAGCAAACAATGAACAAAATGGTAGCAGGCCTGCATGGACTTACAACATATCTAGATGATATCCTGGTATGTGGAACGACTGAAGAAGAACATGACAGAAATGTTCTATCGTTGTTCGAAAGAATCGCTGAATATGGATTCGAAGTACACATGGACAAGTGTTCTATTGCAAAGTCCGAAATTTGCTATCTTGGATTTATCGTCGACAAAAATGGTAGGAGGCCAAACACTCAAAAAGTCGAGACTATCAAGAATATGGCCGAACCGAAACGCGTCAAGCAGCTATGCTCAATCCTAGGAATGGTGACATATTACTCAGCGTTTATGCCGTCCATGAAAAGTTTACGTGGACCGTTAGACGCATTACTGAAGAAAGACGTAAAGTGGAAGTGGACGTCTATGCAACAAGATGCATTTGAGAACTTGAAATCAGCGTTGTCCAGCGATCTAAACCTTGCTCATTACGACCCCAAGAGAAAATCGTTATAGCCGCAGATGCATGCGAGTACGGAATTGGATGCGTGATCTTGCCTAGATATGCTAATGGTACTGAAAAACCGTTAGCCCACGCTTCTCGATCGCTTTCTGATGCGGAAAGGAACTATTCACAAATTGAGAAAGAAACACTTGGATTGGTATTCGCAGTGAAGAAGTTTCACAAGTACACTTTCGGAAGGAACTTCCTACTGCTAACAGACCACAAGCCGCTGTTGGCGAATCGACTAATGAGATGGGCAACTATTGTGTTGGGATACGATTTTGACATTGAATATGTTAACACGACAGAGTTCGGTCAAGTCGACGGACTGTCAAGATTTGTGCAAAAGTACCCCACTAAAGAAGAAGATACGGTGGTAGCGGCAGTAGAAAGTGATGTATCTGAGCAGCTGAGAAACTGCATTAACAAGTTCCCGCTAACTCATCAAGATGTCAAGCTCTGCCACGGAACAGGACCCACTGCTAAAAAGAATCAAGTCATTGATCAAGCATGGGAAATGGCCAAAGAACGATCATAAGTTGTCGCCTTCCAGGCGGCAAGAAAGGAGACTTTATCGCTCGTCCAAGGATGTCTTATGACTGTAGAAAGAGTCATTATTCCAACAAAGCTACGGAGCAGAGTGTAAAAGAAACTACACCTTGGTCACCCCGGCATCGTAGAATGAAGAAAATAGCCCGAAGCTATGTGTACTGACTTAACACCGACAAGGATTGCGAAACCGTCGTACGGAACTGTTCGGCATCTTTCATAGTCCACGATCGGTCGCGGACCCATCTCACGAGCGACCGGCGACCGGTCGCGCGACCGGTCGCCGGTCGCTATGACTCGTGGACTATGAAAGATGCCAAAGCGACACTGGAACCTTCGCCAAGAGCTACGTATGCATGGCAAAGAATTCATGTGAACTTCACCGGACAAATGAATGAACGCTATTGCCTGGTCCTGGTCGACGCTTCCAGCAAGTGGCCGGAAGTGAGGGAAATGACCACCATCTCTGCGACTCGAGCAGTGAATGAACTCAAGAAAATGTTTGCGAGATACGATTTGCCGCAAACAATCGTGAGTAATAATGGAAGTCAATTTCAATCAGAGCTCTTCAAGAAGATGTGTGATGAGAGAGGAATTGTACACAAAACAACAGCCCTTTATCATCCTCAATCAAATGAACAAGCAGAAGGGTTTGTCGAAACGCTGAAACGAGGTATCAACAAACTCAGAGGGGAAGGAAGACGTCCGAAGATATGTTGAATACTATTCTGCAAGCCTATAGGACCACACCATCAGCTGTTTAAAAGAGAAGACTGGCAGAACTGTTTCTCGGAAAAAAATCGCACTCGAGTAAGCATGCTGAAGCCAATGCCGGCAAGCACAGATGATCACTTCGCGGAACAAAGGCGAGAGTACATGAAAAAGACAGAAGACGTGGTGCGATTAAAATGAACTTTGCCGTTGGAGAAGCCGTTTATGCTCAACAATGGGAATCATCAAAATTCGACTGAGAAAAGGCACAATCAAGAGGTGCCTCGGATCAGTAAATTACGAAGTGGATGTAAAGTGAAAACTGGTTAAGAAACACGTGAATCAACTCAAACGTCGTCATGTAAACGAACCGACAAGTAGCGGAAGTTCGATGTTAAAAACGCTACTGGATATATTCGATCTTCGCGACGACCAGCAGATAGCTACAGAGAGATCAACAGACCAGCCTGCTACTGTTGAGGCAGAGAAAATGGATATCCGGGCAAGTGAAGATCGACGACGTACACCGAGTCCGAAACCACATGTACCGTTAAGAAGATCAACACGAACGGGAAGACCTGTTGAGAGAAATGGGATATCTCGTGTGTAGTTTGTTCTTTTAAGGATACTTTGGCACCTAGCTTAAATAGTAACCTAGTAGAAACAAAGCATTTTTCTACTGGGGAGGGGTTGTGTATAGGAATGAACTGATATGAATTCTTACCGTAACACCACTCTACATAAGCCTAACTCGAGTAGGGTTAGACACTACTTCTTCATCTTCTCCTTTTTGCTCACGACTACAATAAACCGGTCGTCTCACTGAAGTGTAAGAACACAACATTTAAGAGGGAAGGATACTGTGTTGCAGTGGTCATTCAAGATGAGATGTATACTTATACTCCATGTGTTTAAAACGCTGACCTCAAATCCACCCTTGAAATCTGCGACGAACGACTCTGGTAAGGAGGTTACGGAGAAGGTGGGGGGGGGGAGGGTCTTCCTTATATTGAGATTTTGCCGTGCATGCATCGAGGGCGAGTCGTAGAGGCAGATGTGGTAGGAAGGCGCAGCATCGCAGGTGTAGGATGGGGTTTTGCATCCCGCGTGCATGAACTTGTTTCGCATTTCACTTATATTTTGCATTTCACTTATACATAAAATCAGTCAGGCCGCCCGGCTAATGCCGGGCTTCCCTCCTTCCTATAAAGTCGCCCGGCTTCGCCGAGCGGTCCTCCTACCTGTAAGAAATTTGCTATGCGTAAATAACTCTTCGGATTCTCCTTTTTCCTTGAAAGCTCTACACCCTCAGTACTAGCTCCGAATTGGGAGCGATTTTCTCTGAAAGCCATATTCGCTGAGTCCGGTAAGAGTACATCGTATAATATCACAAAGGCGATTATTCAGAGAAAAAAGGACAGATGGGCTAAGGAAGCGTACCTCCGTGAAATTTTTGCAATTGGAATACTTTGAACGCCCTAGGGCCCAATTGTAAATTTTCGCGCAATCACCGCCCCCTGTAGACGGGTCCTCTTGTTGCCACCTATAATAAGTGTTCCCATTCTGTCGCCTGTACTCATACCAAGTTTGAATACCTCTGGGTGTAAGGGAACAGAGGTTATAAATTTTTGCTCAAACTCTGCTTTTGTGTCGCCTGTACTACTACCAAGTTTGAGTGTCTAGGATCACGGGGATATGAGTTGTAAATTTCTCCACAAACCCCGCCCA